AAAGAGTGAAAAATACATCCAAGGAATGCGTTCTTCCAAATAAAAACGCAACTTTCAAATACGTTATTTTAATTTTCATAAATTTGTTTAAATATGAAAAATTGGTTAAATAGTACATAACATACCAGCTCTTTATGGGAAACTGGTAGATTTTATAGTATGTTTTGTACCAACTCTTTATGGGAAACATATCAACTATTTATAGGAAAATTGGTTAAATAGCAGCTAAAGGAAAACTAGTATGTTTTATATTTATAAATTAAATATGTGAAAGTCAAAAAAAAAAAGAAATAGCGCATAAGATACCAGCTCTTTATGGGAAACTGGCAGGTTTTGTAGTATGTTTTGTGCCAACTCTTTATAGGAAACACACCAGCTCTTTATAGGAAAAACTGGTTAAATAGTGGCCAAAGGAATACTAGTGTGTTTTGTATTTAACATAAATTAAATATGTGAAAGTTAAAAAAAAAAAAAAGAAATAGCTCATAAGATACCAGCTCTTTATGGGAAACTCGCAGGTTTTGTATTTAATGCCCATAACTATGAAACTGAAAGGTATTCAGGCAAACAATTTTACAAATAGGTACAAGGCAACCAGAAACCCACCCAAACTATCCCAGTATTCACGGATCAAATAACCAAAATATCAAGAATCGATTGACCCTTTGTTTCTGAGCTTCTATTGAATGCGTAATTCAAGAAAACACAGTGAGTAGTGTGAGTGGAATAAAAGTGAGAAGGTGATGGATCCAGAGCATAGCATTTTGGTCCAGTTAGTGTTATTGTGTCAGATTCCCTTCTTTTCTTTTTTATTTTTAGCTAACCAGTGAATAGCTTGAAAAAACAGAGAAGAAGGAAGAGAAAAGCTTGCATACGGAGAAGAAAATTGCAGAGAAAATTGTAGAGACAACGGAGAAGAAAATTGCAGAGACAACGGAGAAGAAAATTGCAGAGGCAACGGAGAAGAAATTTTGGATAAAAGATGAAGAAGAAGAGAGAGAAAATCTGATGAAGAAGAAGAATAGAAGGTGCTGCGTGTGATGGAGAGAAAGAGAGGGTAGGCCCGTCATAAATATTGTCTGAGGGAATCAGTTGAGAGTTTTGTCTAAAACCTCTCAATTTGCTCCGGAATGAAGGAAGTCCGATTTTTTAGAAATGATTCCAAAGATTGCATTCTAATAGGTTTAAGTCAAGCAATAAATAAAGGGTTTATTCCATTCTGTGATTCCCAAACTCTTTAACCAAGCAGCCCCTTAATGATGATCTCTTGCTTTCGTGCAAAACTGTCAAGCAACTCTTTATTTTGTAGCGTTGGAACCGACCGCAACATAGTTGGAATTCGGAATAGGAGTTTGTGATATGTTTTTGTTTGTTGAGACGAAATGGTCATGGAGTTATTGGCGATTACTTGCATATGTTATCCAAAATTGCGTTGGACCCATTTCTTCGCTTTTGAGTCGAGAATGTGACAATTCTATGATGGTGGAGCCGCTACACTTGACAATATTCTGAATAGTGATGGATGTTGTTTCGGTAATGACTCAACATCATGACTTTTCTTTGTTCAGCTAACATTCCTGTTGCTTTTACCTCTCTTAGACTTAAAAAAAAAAAGACCCAAAATTCCGAGCGTAGGGCCTCAACAATTAAGTTTCAATTTTCTAAGCCAATGTATATATGCTGACACAATGAACTTAGGCACCAAAATAACAATAATATGACAAAATTTGTCCCTTCTTGAAATATGTGTTCCAAACATCAGAAAAGCTCTCCTGCTCAATGACCTTGTTCTCAATTTATTTTCAATTCCTGATTTAAGATTTTGATTTTCAATTTATTGTGTTTTCAACTGCTTTTTTTATCCTGAATTTGGATTTTTTGAAGCTAAAAAAATTCTAAAAATCAAAGCATCTATTTTGATGGTTTTTTATTCTGATTTTTTAAAATCAATCTTTACATAATCAAAAACCGTTCGGGAACAAGGCTAATACCTCTTAAAAGTAATCCATGGAAAAGATTTAAGACCAAGAAAAGAAAAAGCTAGAAAAGAAACCCCCAACCTACTTAGTAGGGTTTCAAGGGCAAATTAGTCACTTAAAAGCTTAATGGACAATTATGATTAAGACAGCAATTAGTGCTTGATTTATAATTGTCAGTAGGATACTTAAAGAAAAGTTATTGCCAGCTAAGCCACTTGTATTGGGATACGGGGCAGGAGCGGTCCTCCGGCCGACCGCTCCTGAACGGTCTCCTCACAATAAAAAACGTGAGGAGACAAATGAGCCAAGTCAGCAAGGATGAAGTAGGGCAGAAAAACGGCACCGTTCCAAATAAAAAAATGTTGACTTCCAAACGTGAGCAAACGGAAGAGAAGTAGATTTTGAATTCAAGTTGAAATTTTGAATTAGTCGCAGAAAACAAAACTGAGGGAAGAGTCTTGGCGTGCTTCTGAAGGAGCTCTACTCTGACAGTCTGACCGACCGCTCACTGAAGGTAGAAAGCTGAAGTTCGAATGAAATTCGACCTACTAACTCTTTCTAGGTGAAGTGGGTGTAGTCTATTCTGATGAAAATAGCAATTGACAGAAAAGTGGGTGGAGAGGCAGGCGGCAAGGTAGAAGCAAACAGAGATGAAGCCAAAGTTTGGACGGAAAACTGAATAGCAGAAGCAGCTGTGGTCTTCAACTGGGTATAAGAGTATTGTATCTATTTTGAATGCGCGCAAGGCAGGCGGTAAGGTAGAAGCAAACAGAGGAAGGACAAAATCTCACGAAGCCAGACTTTGTCCTTCAACTTAATAGCAGAAGCAGCTACGCTCTCCGACTTCGGTGAAACGTGAAGCGTATTAGCAGACCAAGGTAATATGATTGAACCATGTCAGTAACTGTGGCCAATAATTTGTCACCCAAATGCACATCTGTTAAATGAAGGATGAAATTACAGTCATTGAAGACATAATATGAAGATGATAGAAGAATAGTGAAGTTGTACTGTATTTGCATGTGTGTACCGTATCTGTGTGTGCGTGACCATTTAGTTTTTCAGTGATGGACTATAAAGGGATAGTAATTTTTGGAAGACCTAGGGGTATGTATTCAAGTAAACCATCAAACGGAATTAGGAAAAGATGAGAGAAACAAAGTCACATTTAACAAGTGAATGAATGTACATCTTGTTGTAAATTAGTTACATGTTATAGCCACCGTATTACAATTGATATGAATCATTGTGCATCTAGTAATTGGTCCATGCTCATAGAGTAATATTAGTTTGCCTCTCTCTTGACTGTGTAGTGTGTATAAAATAGAGGTGTAGAGTTGAATGAGGTGAAACTGAGAAAAAGACATATATGTGAATAATAAATGGGTGAACCTTGTATTGTAAGTAAATTATATGATGTAAAAAATATATTACAATGAATAGAAAGTGATTGTTTGGCCCTCAAAATGTAGAAATAGTAGAAAATGCGGAGTTGGCTTATGCGGTTGTCATTAATGAATGACATAAGATCCAGTGAGCTAAAGAATCTAGAATATAATCACCAGCGTGGATGTACATACAGTTAAAATAGACTTACATCGTGTGACCAATACATTACAATCCGTATAAGTTAGTGTACATGGAGTTGTATTTGTACACAGATTGTCTTAGAGTAAAAGTAAGGTGATGTAAATCATTAATCATATTGATAGCGTAATAATAGAATTTGGTATAACGAGTAATGTATGATTCATAACACATTATGAATGGTAATATATATTTATGTTGTCGTTTATGTACATACTATTCATGAAGTGTTGCAAATTAGGGTGTTTGATGCATAATTGGCAGGATCAGAAGTAATGGATTGCAACAAATTGACAGAAGATGGGACCCCTGAGTTAGGAATGGAGTTCAACAGCGAAGAGGATGCGTACAAGTTTTACAACAAATATGCCTTTAAAATGGGTTTTAGTGTACGTAAAGACTATCTGAATAAAGACAAAGACGGCGTGACCACGTCTAGGAGATATAGTTGCTGCAAGGAAGGTGTGAAGCGCAAGTACGAAGGTGATGTGATGCCAAAGAGGACACGAGCCGACGAAAACAGGGTGTGGAGCTAAAATGGTTATCGTGTTGTTTAGAGGAACAATGAAGTACCGTGTGCATGACCTTGTTTAGAGCATAACCATGAGTTGCACATTGCTCAATGTGCGCACATGATGCCATCACAAAGAAAAGTGAGAGGCTCAAGGATTCCAAGCTGAAATAAGCGAGGACTGGGCTTTCATTGAAACAGAGCCATGAGCTTATGGGAAAGGAGGCAGGTGGGATGGGAAATGTGGGATATACTCGGGAAGACCTGAAACGATATCTTCGTACTCGACGGGAAAGGAGTTTGAAATATGGAGAAGCAGGTAGCATGCTGAATTATTTTCAAGAGCAAACACTCGAGAATCCATCTTTTTTCATGCCGTACAGCTGGACTGTGAAGAGCAGATAACGAATATCTTTTGGGCTGATGCAGGAATGTTAATTGACTACAAATTTTTTGGAGACGTAGTCACATTCGACACAACCTACAAAACAAATAAAGAATACCGGCCACTTGGAGTGTTTGTGGGTTTTAACCAACATAGGCAAATTGTGATATTCGGTGCTGCCCTTATGTATGATGAGACTATAGATTCTTTCAAATGGGTGTTTGGTACATTTCTAGAAGCAATGTGCGGAAAGCGTCCAAGTACCATACTAACCGACCAAGATCATGCCATGGCAGCCGCTCTTTCAGTTGTTATGCCTGAAACATTTCACGGTCTATGTACGTTTCACATAAGGCGTAATTTTATGAAACATCTTGGCAATCACTACAAGGAAAATAGTGATCTTCCATACATGTTTGGTGCTGCATGTATGAGTTTGAAGAAGTGGAACAATTCAATAGGGTGTGGGAGGCGATGGTGAAGAAACACAATCTTGAAAATAATGAATGGCTCTCCGGGTTGTATAAATTCGTGATAAATGGGCAAGGTGCATGATGAAAGAAAGATGGACCGCGGGAATGCGAAGCACCCAACTAGCGAAAGCCTAAATGCAGCAATTAAAAATCATTTGAAACTGGATCATGACCTTGTGCAGTTCTTTAGACATTTCAATCGGGTGGTTGATGAAAAGAGACATAATGAACTGATCGCAGAATATGAAATGAGGCAAAAGCTCCCCATGGTAGGGTTAAGGCAAACACCTATGCTTGTGCATGCATCAGAGACGTATTCACCAACCGTATTTGTTGCATTCCAAAATGAATATGGCGAGTCAACAGCTATGGTTATATTGAGACAACAAGATGCAGCGATGTTTGTGGAGTTTGCGGTCATGAGGTATGATGGAGGACTGAAAGAATAGTAGTATTCAATCGGAATGATCTAAGTGTACGTTGCAGTTGCAAAAAATACGAGAATGAAGGCATTTTATGTGGGCACGCGTTGAAGGTGTTTGATACCGGCATAAAAATAATTCCTCCTGAATACATTAAGAGGCGATGGACAAAAAGAGCTCGGGCTGGAGACTGTTTTGATCGGCGAGGACAGGAAGTTGTGGCTGATCCTAAAGTAATGATTTCAACTCGTTATCGGGAGCTCGCTCCAGCCATGATTAAGGTCGCAACTCGAGCAGCAATGTCGGAGGACACCAGCAAAGTAGCAATCACTGTCATATCCGATTTGTCAAAGAGAGTTGAGCTCCTCCTCTCAGAAAGCGAAGAGCAACCTTTGCAAAATCAAAAAAATCTGAATATGGAGGAACGAGATAAAATTGAAATTGTAAATGAAATGGGGGAGGCAGTAGTCGCAAGAGGCATTAAAAAACGAGGCGGTGGGAAGAAAAGTAGAGTGATGCGAAGTTGGGTCGATAAATTTGACAGAGTAAAAAGAAAATCTAGATTATCAAGACTACACAGACTACGGTATGGATCAAATTTTGGTACTTGGGGAACATTTATGCTAAAACTAAGTTATTGTTATACTATTAACTAAAGTTTAGGTAACATTCATTATGAAATAATATTATTGCCGTGTCAATACTGTAGGTCTCAGAATCGGAGCCGACATCGTTTCATTTGAGGAATACATGTTTATGGGATGCCGTTCATCTACTGACTCTGTTTCGGTTAGTATAAAATGGACATGACTCTTGCTTTTATTTGGATGTTTCTAACAGCATAAATAGTTACATTGATGTTACATTGTGTGATAATGTTGTTACGGCCGTCATCCCTCCTGATATACGTATTTTGTTTGTCTTATACAATGATTTGGCCCATACGAAACTTGTAGACGCATTCAATGAGTCAGACAGTGAATGGCCCTCCAAATTGTTGCTCCGATATCGATGAAAGTCAAACGGTATGCATACATTTAGTAGTTAAAATAAAACCTTCTTGTTCATGTAGTAGAGCTACCTTTTTTTCTTTAATTGTAATGGTGGGCACTCGAAGGCTGTCAAATCATGCAAATTATGTAGTTAACGTATGCTCGCTTTAATAACGTATTATTTTTTATTATTCAAGGTCCACCGTTTGGCTAATCAGGGGCCTCCTGCAAGTGTCCCTACAGAATGGATGCATCCCAGATTTTCTATTTTTTCCAAGCATAACTCCATCAGAGATGTCTTAATGGTCTGATATATCATTTTTGTTATAATGTCTAGTCCAATTTAACTTTATAAGTGAGCAATATAGGCACTGGTAATGATTTGTTGACAGTCGATTACTTATACTATATAATGTAGGAGGAGCGTGGGGCAATTTCAACACACTGTGATGTTGATGCATATCATGTATTTGCACCATCACCTCAGGTGACAAACTTTTATCGTTACAGCACATATTTATGTAATGTTATTAATTGGAGACTTGGACATCGTATATCATTAATCGTATGTTTATTAATAATATTTGCTGATTTGCCATCGTTACGCATTTCAGGGAAGAAATAACACCAGGGATTGCAACTACGTTGACGTCCTCCCCAAATGAGGTTGATGAATGATGTGTAACTATACTTTTTGAACGAGACATTAAGTGGTTGTCCCAACCTTGAGAATGCTGCATATGTACGTTACAAGCAGTTAATAAGCTGTTACAACTTATTGACGAGGTACAGGCACCATTGATGTTTCACTCTTTTCAAATTTAGACAAGTGGATTACAATTGTAATCGCATCTAGTGTTAGTAGTCATCAATAGTTTGTATTGGGTTGTATAAAATTGTTAGAAAATTATAAAGTTGGTAGAAAATTGAAGTAACAATTTTACAATAGAATTGAACGTGTTTTTTGTGATCGGATATTTTTCACTAAATCGACCATAACAGTTGAATGGTTGTCGTGATATGTATACCATTCTACTACATTCAATTGCATACCTTAATAACATATTTATTGGCATAGATCGCACCGCCAAAGGTACGATGTATAAGATAACACAATCTAAAGTATAAATTGTCTTGATTTTGTTACGATGATAAATTCGAATTATTATTGGGCTATTTTTATAAAACATTATCATTTAGGCCATTTGTTTTGCATCGCTTGACGAATTTAGTGCACCATTGACATGATATATCACAGGCACATCAATTGGTATTACAAGTTTTTAGGTTAATTAAATTATGGTCAAACCAGGTCACGACCACATGTTGGTAATAGGTGCGCATAAGAAAATGATTCCTTGGAGAACTAATTTGTAACGTTAAAATGAAGTTTTACAATGCAACAAAAAGGAAGAACGAACAGTACACAATGGGTTACAACCAGTTAGGGATATGTTACTGTTACGTTACAACTAGTTACGACTGTTTAACAGGCATGATTAATATCCAAATATGGTAAGCAATTTGTTTGAGTAGAGATTATAATGAGTATAGTTTTATCGCTACCCTGACAAACATTGACTACATCCCTTGTTATCAGTTGTATCCCATACAACACCTGGGAACGCCGTCATGCATTAGACAATGGGGTATGTACCTTTGAAAGTCATCGTCGCTTGATTCAGTAAAGTCAGATAGGTCCGGGTCGGATATAAGCATGGGATCTGCTAAAATGTGCTGAACATCAAAATGTTTTCCAAACCATGTCTTTTTGCGGCTTATCTCGTGAACCTGTGAAGCCTACGCTCCATCTGCATAACTTCTCGCTGTAGTCTATGTAATACGCTTGCATCATTGGCTTGTGGTCCTATAACAAGATCCGCTGACCTTGTTCTCGGGACGCGGAGGCCATGCCAGCGACAAAATACCTCTAATTCCATTCTTCGCTCACGAACAGGCTCCCATATGGGTTCATGGTCCATAACAAATAGCCAGACGGTAGATGATCGTGACGGTATTTTTAAAAATGTGACCAGCTAGTCCCAGAGAGTTGTTGGTGTTAAGTGGAGCGTTCTGAACTCGCGTTTGTACCATATAAAATCCTCCCGTCTGGTGTTTCGTACTTGCTTATGGCATTTGTTGGACCCAACGATACTTTCCGTCTTTTTTGCCGAACATTTGATGGTGAGCTTGTATGAGATCCTTCGTTTGTGGATTGCATGACTATGCTAATACCTACTGTTTTTTGGTTGATGAAAGAAGGATCTACTGATAAAGAATTAGGTGGGAGAAAAAAAGAGGTAGAAATTTTTAACAGAGCACCTGTTTCAGACCATGCATAGTAAATGGTTTCTTCTGGCAACTTGACCAACTGCTTGCTGTGTCATTTCATGCTGTTCTCCACGGGATAGTACTCCTGGGTGAGTAGATGAAGGCATGACAACCACCTATTAACGAGAGAATAGACTCAACGTTTGGTCAAATGTATAGTGTGTGGATGAAATAATGTTCAATTCGATTGGGTCATGACCTGTACTCCAACAACAATTGGTCAGGTGAATACCCAGTTATACGTCAGTCACCTTACTTTTCAAGTGTAACAAGAAGTTACAACCAGCATATGTACGTTACAAGAAGTTAATAAGCTGTTACCGCTTATTGATGTGCTTGTACAGGCACCTTGTCATTTGCCTGTATGTTAAAACTTAGACAATTTACAATTGTATTAACGATAAGTATTACAGATAGTATTACAGCACTTCAATAGGTATACTCCTTCAGTACAGAAATGAACTTACAATTGGCGGCTCGGCTTGGTTCCACATGACCACATAATAAGTAACAGTTTCGCAGAAGAACATGATACTTCGTTGGGACAAGTAATTTGAAAGTAGGGTAACTAATATTTAAAATGCAACAAATTTTGATTACGCCATGTACATTTGAGTTACAACCAGTTATGTATATGTTACAATTCATTACAACTAATGAATTTGCAAATTTCGTCTTATCTAGTTAAAACTAGTGATATTACAACTAGAAATTCCTGATATTACAACTAGTGATACTACAACTAGTTAATATCTGATGAACCTTTCCTCTTCTCTTGTTTGTGCAATTGCACTTGGCACAAACAAAAGTCCTCCCCCAACACATAAAATTTCTTAGACACTTTAGTAAGTGTCTAATGAGAACATAGAGATGGTCGATTCGAACCCCAAAATAATTGATGTAGCGAGGCCTTCTCGAACATCTCATTAAATTAGCGAGATCTTCTCGAACATCATGCAACCTACTGGCTGCTATTGGCACCCAAGAACTTGATTTCTGTGTGAACCCTGTATTGATGACTGCAATTGAAGTTAGAAGAGGGTTGAAGAATACTAATAATAAATTTCAGGCACGGGTTCATTGCCACCCTTCAAATGAAATGGGAAGTGTGAAGTTATTTAAAATGGAAAATATTTGTGCAGTAATGAAAGGTGGACGGAAAAATTTTTGTTGTTGAGAGATATACTACTACAACCACGCCCTTTTATAGTCCGCAGGACCCTCACACTGTGCTAAAATATCACTGGACAACTCATTCCAGGCCAAACAATTTTATCATGGTAGTGAAAGCTATAAGTTCGATGCATGCCATTAAATTGTGTCAAATCTGTTCAGACAATAAAACAAATTATGCAGCTTTTGTCATGAAATGACCTGTACACCAATATTAAGGGTCACGTGGATAAAGCGTTACACATCAGTGACCTGTACGTTTCACTATGTATAGATTGTGTTACAACCAGTTAGGTGTATGTTGCAAATTCATTATAACAAATGAATTTGCAATCAGCAACTATTCGTACGAAGCGTCAGATTTGTAGTACCGACAGTGAATATAGGTGCTACGTGCTATTGCTAATTGTTTACAGATTTCAACACATGTTTTCACAACTTTTATCATCTAAGGACCTGTACTCCAATGTTAGGGGTCACGTCTATACAAAATTACACATTATTGACGATAAATTTTACTAATACCTTACACAATAACGCTCTAAATACACTATTTACACTTTACTTTCTTCTATTTGTTGGGTGGCCCAACATTTTCATTATTGTAAATAAGAACACACAAGTCTGTAAATAAGAATGCACGATTTGTGACTAGTTCAATAAATAAACAATTCGTGTATTAGGTTCGTCAAAATGTTGTTTGTCACGGCTGTGGAATCTATAGAGTCACATGCACCTGGTGAACTATGTCAATTCAGTGCAGACAATACTTTTAATTTTGCTGTTTTTATCATGAAATGACCTGTACACCAACATTTAGTGTCACGTGGATATAGAGTTACACACCAGTAGGGAGTACGTTTCACTATGTGCATGCACAGTTACACTCTACACGTAAGTGTAAAAACTCCAAAACAATATATGAACAGGCCGAGAGTCAGATGTGTAACACTCTAGTAAATTTTGCACAGTTAATGATGCAAATTTACTAGCTCTGTGAGCGAATTGTACTTGCTTCTGCTCCAATGCTCTAGAGGACATTTTCAAATCGACCTTTAATTTTATGAATATTGTAACTAAGAATGAACTAATATGTAAGTAAGAACAGACGAATTGTAATAATATATGCACAGTTTGTGAATCATAGAGATCGTATGATGGACTATATTTTCAGTACCGATACTTGGGCAGATGTGTTACGTCGTGTTGCTAATCAGCATCAAACAATGGAACAAATTTCTCAGCTT